GAGTTTAAGTTGAATTTGTTATAAAAAAAAAACAATTAAATTTTGTTAGTTACACAGTAAAAAGGTTTAAAATATTAATTATTTAAAAGACGGGAAATAATTGTTTTAATAACCTTGGTTTATAATGATAATCATAAGTTTACTTGAAAACTGTTTAATCTTAGACATAAACTATTTTCACCCTAAACACTTGCAGCATTTCCACTATGTACTTCTCTTCCTATGTAACTCTAACCCACTGTTTAACTGAAATCTACTTATTTCAATGGCCTTTAATTACCACATTTCACACCTAATCATCATCTTTTAATCAAATAGTTGTTATTTGCTTGCAGCTACATTCAAAACCAATACCAAACCAAAATATTTTCCTATAACAACTTATCTCTTCCGCTATAAACTAATAAAATGAGAAAAAAACTGCATTCATTAATGGCATTTTTCTAACAAAAAGGTAGGAAAACAACACAAAATAAACATGTTTTTATGTAAAAAGATATAAACTGAATATATGTAGGCCGTTTACAACAATTTCAAAGGGTGTACTAGAAAAAAATCTACAAAAAATAACGCATTTTCTTATCGGTTGTTTGCTGCTATAAAAAAGAGTTAAACATTGAGATACACGCGCTCAATTGGTTTACGCTCATTTTGAGCGATCAACGCACAGAAATGGCAGATCTTGCTAACAGATATTTAAGTATTTAGTTACTCTCTTCAATAAACAATAATTTTTGCACCCTACTTAGCATTAAGGGGGACTGTAGACTAGACTATAGATTGACTATAGCTTAGACTATAGACTAGACAATAGCTTAGACTATAGACTAGACTATAGACTAGACTATAGAATAGACTAGACTATAGACTAGACTATAGACTAGAACTATGACTAGACTATAGACTAGACTATAGACTAGACTATAGCTAGACTATAGACTAGACTATAGACTAGACTATAGGCTAGGACTATAGACTTGACTATAGACTAGGACTATAGACTAGACTACAGACGCTAAACTATAGACTAGACTATAGACTAGAACTATAGACTAGACTATAGACAGACTATAGACTAGACTATAGACTAGACTATAGGCTAGACTACAGACTAGACTATAGACTAGACTATAGGCGAGGACTATAGGCCTAGACTATAGACCTAGACTATAGACATCGACTATAGACTAGACTATAGACTAGACTAAGACTAGACTATAGACTAGGACTATAGGCCTAGACTATAGACTAGACTATAGACTAGACTAGACTACTAGACTAACTATATACTAGAGCTATATACTAGACTATAGACTAGACTATAGACTAGACTATAGACTAGACTATAGACTAGACTAAGACTAGACTATAGACTAGACTAAGACTAGACGATACGACTAGACTATAGACTAGCCTATAGGCTAGACTATGAGGCTAGACTATAGACTAGACTTAGACTAGACTATATACTAGACTATAGACTAGACTATAGACTAGACTATAGACTAGACTATAGACTAGACTATAGACTAGACTAGAGACTAGACTATAGACTAGACTATAGACTAGACGATAGGACTAGACTATAGAACTAGACTATAGACTAGACTATAGACTAGACTATAGACTAGACTATAGACTAGACTATAGACTAGACTATAGACTAGACTATAGACTAGACTACTAGACTAGACTATAGACTAGACTATAGACTAGACTATAGGACTAGACTAGGCTAGACTATAGACTAACTATAGACTAGACTATAGACTAGACTATAGACTAGACTATAGACTAGACTATAGACTAGACTATAGACTAGACTATAGACTAGACTATAGACTAGACTATAGACTAGACTATAGACTAGACTATAGACTAGACTATAGACTAGACTATAGACTAGACTATAGACTAGACTATAGACTAGACTATAGACTAGACTATAGACTAGACTATAGACTAGACTATAGACTAGACTATAGACTAGACTATAGACTAGACTATAGACTAGACTATAGACTAGACTATAGACTAGACTATAGACTAGACTATAGACTAGACTATAGACTAGACTATAGACTAGACTATAGACTAGACTATAGACTAGACTATAGACTAGACTATAGACTAGACTATAGACTAGACTATAGACTAGACTATAGACTAGACTATAGACTAGCTATAGACTAGACTATAGACTAGACTATAGACTAGACTATAGACTAGACTATAGACTAGACTATAGACTAGACTATAGACTAGACCAGCGGTTCCCACCGATTTTTACTTCGCGGACCCCTTGAAGAACTTATTTAATTTCGCGGACCCCCATACATATTTTGATATCTTATTGTTCTAAATAATTGTCCATCCGAAAATTGACCTAGTTCAATAATCCCTAGGTCTAATAAATGTAGAGATGTCAAATCTATAAAATATTCCCGTACATTGAGAATATATAATATTTCAGATAGGTTTTCAATTGCATGTTTTGACTTCTTTGTTGATATGTTAACATGATGGTTAATTTTATGATCGTGAGATCTTTCATGTTAATTTTTCTTCAAGGTAGCGAAAAGGTTTCTTTATCAAATATTGTCACATGTGCTTAAGGAGTCACGTTTCAAAAATTTGTTGCGATTGCAAAGGCTGAACTGAGTAAGTGAGCTAAGTTTTCGGGAAAATAATATAAGAAAGTTGGACTTCTTCTATGTTGTTGCGGAATGCGTTATCCGCATATTATATGATTTGAACTCTTTGTTAAAGTACTGTGAATTTGGAACTTAAATTTGAATTTTAAAATACCAACGAATTATTTTACTTCATGGTTTTTGGCTACATATTTACGCGAAACGCTATGGATTTTCTGATGTTAATTTAATAATATGTATTGGTCGACAAAATCAAGTTAAAATCTGTGTATCACGTCGGATTGGAATATTTATAAAGAGATGCATAAAGAGTCACCTCTGTTTTGGAAATATATAATTTTAGTCCTTTCAAACAAGAACACTTTTGCTTACAATTTGATAAACTTAAATCTGTAATAAGCTTGTCTTTGAATTGAACTTCATACTCCGGAATACCAGTATCCCTAATTTAATTGTAAGGCAGAGTATTATTTGTCTGAAATAAAAACCATTATTTCAGTACATATACAGGAAATAAAAATTACAAATCACGCAATACTTTACTTTATAAAAGTTATACAATAAATTTGTAGGGCCTAGCTTCTTCCTGATAAACAACCAAAAAAATAAATTCAAAAAAGTCACCAAAAAAATTTGGGATTATTGGCACAAAAATTGGAGATATTTGTACATCATATAAAAGCAGAATATTTTTATTCATGGTTTTTTTTCGTTCGTCTTCGCGGACCCCCTAGGATTTTAATACGGACCACTAGGGGTCCGCGGACCCCCATTTGGGAACCGTTGGACTAGACTATAGAGACTAGACTATATGACTAGACTATAGACTAGACTATAGACTAGACTATAGACTAGACTACTATAGACTAGACTATAGACTAGACTATATAGACTAGACTATAGACTAGACTATAGACTAGACTATAGACTAGACTAGACTAGACTATAGACTAGACTATAGACTAGACTATAGACTAGACTATAGACTAGACTATAGACTAGACTATAGACTAGACTATAGACTAGACTATAGACTAGACTATAGACTAGACTATAGACTAGACTATAGACTAGACTATAGACTAGACTATAGACTAGACTATAGACTAGACTATAGACTAGACTATAGACTAGACTATAGACTAGACTATAGACTAGACTATAGACTAGACTATAGACTAGACTATAGACTAGACTATAGACTAGACTATAGACTAGACTATAGACTAGACTATAGACTAGACTATAGACTAGACTATAGACTAGACTATAGATTAGACTATAGACTAGACTATAGACTAGACTATAGACTAGACTATAGACTAGACTATAGACTAGACTATAGACTAGACTATAGACTAGACTATAGACTAGACTATAGACTAGACTATAGACTAGACTATAGACTAGACTATAGACTAGACTATAGACTGGACTATAGACTAGACTATAGACTTGACTATAGACTTGACTATAGACTAGACTATAGACTAGACTATACACTAAACTATAGACTATAAACAAGTCTATGCACTACATCATACACTATATTATGGACTAGACCTTAATCGAGATGGAATCATTTTGTTTACGGTGCTACGAAGTCGTTTAATACCCATAATTTTATTTATGGTTTATTTGTTTTTATTAGTTTTTTACTAAGAGGAATACAGCAAAAGTGTTTGGGAGTTGAGAAAATATAAAAGTCAACAAAATAAACAACTAGTTTTTTGTTATTGGCGATTGCATATAATAAATAATAAACAACAACAACAAAACTTAAAAATACTATAACGCACACACTCTACTCTACAGTATCTGTAGTTTAAAGACAAGAGCAATATAACACAGTGTAGAGTATTAGTTCTCTACACTTCATTATAATGACAAGCTGTCATATTCAGAAATTATTCGATTTCAGTTTGTTTTGAGTTTAACAACGGTTACACATATTGGTTTTAAATATTATAATTTGTTTTGGAATTTAATTATCAGTGAAACGTTAAAGTGAAAAGGTTAGAAATTGTAATAAAATTCGTGTTTATTACAATTTTATTTGGATTAATCTTTGAAAAATGATTTTGTTTTGTTAAAATGATTAGTACCTTGTAGACAACAAGCCATCACTTAGTTGTTAATAAATATATAGTTTATTTATTGTAAATTTTATTTTTAGTTTTATTTTATTTTTTTGTTTTTTGTTATTATTGAGTGAGAAATGTAACGTGAAAATCACACAAACAAAATACAAACAAATCTTTTACTCTCTGTCTATACAAAAAATATAAAGTTCAACCAGAAGTTTGAAGTTTTTTCAAGTGGCCACTGCTTTGCCAAGTTTAGTTAGATTTCAACGTATTCGCTAGACGGTTGCGGTAGTCAAGCAGATATTCTGCTTAAGAATTTTACACAAAAATAAATTCTAAAAAAAATCGAGCGCTAAAATAAAAACGTATACAAGAAAGATAAAAAAGAAAAATAAAAAGATTTTAATGGAAAAATAAGCAACTAAATAATGAAGAAGTGAAATAATAAAAAAGTGCTTTGTAAACATAAAGAGATATATAATTAAATCATTTTTAAAATTTGTAAAATTAAGAAATAATGGTCAGTTGTTAAGTGCAAAAAAGAAATCATAAAACTTTTATTATAAAAAGATAAATAATTAAAAGAATAAATATAAAAGAGTTATCATATGGATCTTAAGTTATCACAACCTGTGTTTTACAACAACAAAAAGAGTTTATAAAGACTACAGATTAGACTAGAATATAGACTAGACTATAGACCAGACTATAGATTGGACTAAAGAATAGACTATAGATTAGAGTAGAGACTAGACTATTGACTAGACTATAGACAAGACTATAGACCAGACTATAGATTAGACTAAAGACAAGACTATAGACTGGACTAGAAACTAGACTATAGACTAGACTATAGACTTGTAGACGAGAATAAAATCTAGACTGTAGTCCAGACTGTAAAATATGGACTAGAATATACTTAGTCCAAACTATGGTCTACACTATAATCCAGACAACGGACTAGACTTTAGTCCCTACTATGGACTAGACTATAGTACAGACTGTGGATAGTCCAGACTGTGGATTATACTATAGTCTAGACTATAATCCTGAGTATGGACTAGACTATAGACCGGACTGTGCACTAGACTATAGACCAGACTGTGCGCTAGACTGTAGATAATGGTCTAAACTATAGTCCAGAGTACGGTCTAGACTTCAGAGTATGGAATAGACTATAGTCAACAGTATCGACTAAAATATAGTCCAGAGTATGGACTACATTATAGTCTAAAATATTGACTAGAATAGACTCCAGACTATGGACTAGGCTAGAGTCCAGACTACGGACTAGACTAGAGTCCAGACTATGGACTAGACTATAGTCCAGACTATTGACTGGACTATAGTCCTGACTATGAACTAGACTATAGTCCAGACTGTGGATTATACTATAGTCCAGAGTATGTACTATACTATATTCCAGATAATGGACTATACTATATTCCAGAGTATGGACTAGACTATTGTCCAGAGTATGGACTAGATTGTAGTCCAGACTATAGACTAGACTATAGTCCAAACTAGACTATCTGCTAGATTGTTCAGACTGTACTATGATCCATACTATAGACTACACTATGGACCAAGATAGGTTTCCTTAAAAAATTGTGAATATTTAATTTCAAATTTTGCCCAAATTAAATTCTATTCTTTTTCAGGAAATTTTCAAATATTAATAAATGATTAATAAATTCTCTATAAACGATTAAGTTAAAAAAACACCAAAAACAACTTCAGCATGAGTAACAAATTGTTATCGCCAGCACTTGCTTTCAATAGCCAATATCATCAATTCATTTAAAAGTTATTGCCTTTGCAACAATTCAAAGAAATACCACAAAATAAATTAAAATTAAAAAATTATCTTATTAATTAAATTATAAGCAAAATAAAAAATCCAATTTAAATTAACAAAAAAATGAGTGTTGCAGTCTATGAAAATGAAACCGAAACTTGGCAAAATTTCGATGATAAACTTAAAAATCTACAGCCCCAAGAACAGGAAGCGGTTAAAAAATTTTGGAGGTAAATTAAATACAGATTAGAAAGACCAAAAAAAATATCTATTTTTAAAAAAATAATATTGATATAGTTGTTGTTTTAAAGTATATATAAGATTTATTTATTTATACCTGTTGGAAACAGGCTTTTAAATTTGCTATAATATTTTTATCATCTTTATGTTATTTTAATTTTTGTTGAAATTCTTCTTCAGTTTAATTTGCGACAAATAATATTTTAACAAGTTTGTCGGCGAAATTACTTTGATAGTTTATTTTTTTATGTTAATATTTATGTATAAATAAAAATGTCTCTGTTTTTTTCTGGTTTTTACAATGTTTATTTTTTACAGCATTAAAAAAGAACAAATATGTTCTAAATGTTGTTAAAAAAAAATTGGAAAAAAATAATACGAAAACATATGTGATGAAGTTGTAAAAGAATTTACACTTTGTGAAAAAACCCATAAACAGAATTTGAATAATAAACAAAAGATGAGGTAAAAGTGTTAATAAACTACACTACAGACTAGACTATAGACTAGACTATAGACTAGACTATAGACTAGACTATAGACTAGACTATAGACTAGACTATAGAATAGACTATAGACTAGACTATAGACTAGACTATAGACTAGACTATAGACTAGACTATAGACTAGACTAGACTAGACTAGACTAGACTATAGACTAGACTATAGACTAGACTATAGACTAGACTATAGACTAGACTATAGACTAGACTATAGACTAGACTATAGACTAGACTATAGACTAGACTATAGACTAGACTATAGACTAGACTATAGACTAGACTATAGACTAGACTATAGACTAGACTATAGACTAGACTATAGACTAGACTATAGACTAGACTATAGACTAGACTATAGACTAGACTATAGACTAGACTATAGACTAGACTATAGAGAGACTATAGACTAGACTATAGACTAGACTATAGACTAGACTATAGACTAGACTATAGACTAGACTATAGACTAGACTATAGACTAGACTAGACTATAGACTAGACTATAGACTAGACTAGACTATAGACTAGACTATAGACTAGACTATAGACTAGACTATAGACTAGACTATAGACTAGACTATAGACGATTATAGACTAGTATACTAGACTATAGACTAGACTATAGACTAGACTATAGACTAGACTATAGACTAGACTATAGACTATAGACTAGACTATAGACTAGACTATAGACTAGACTATAGACTAGACTATAGACTAGACTATAGACTAGACTATAGACTAGACTATAGACTAGACTATAGACTAGACTATAGACTAGACTATAGACTAGACTATAGACTAGACTATAGACTAGACTATAGACTAGACTATAGACTAGACTATAGACTAGACTATAGACGACTATAGACTAGACTATAGACTAGACTATAGACTAGACTATAGACTAGACTATAGACTAGACTATAGACTAGACTATAGACTAGACTATAGACTAGACTATAGACTAGACTATAGACTAGACTATAGACTAGACTATAGACTAGACTATAGACTAGACTATAGACTAGACTATAGACTAGACTATAGACTAGACTATAGACTAGACTATAGACTAGACTATAGACTAGACTATAGACTAGACTATAGACTAGACTATAGACTAGACTATAGACTAGACTATAGACTAGACTATAGACTAGACTATAGACTAGACTATAGACTAGACTATAGACTAGACTATAGACTAGACTATAGACTAGACTATAGACTAGACTATAGACTAGACTATAGACTAGACTATAGACTAGACTATAGACTAGACTATAGACTAGACTATAGACTAGACTATAGACTAGACTATAGACTAGACTATAGACTAGACTATAGACTAGACTATAGACTAGACTATAGACTAGACTATAGACTAGACTATAGACTAGACTATAGACTAGACTATAGACTAGACTATAGACTAGACTATAGACTAGACTATAGACTAGACTATAGACTAGACTATAGACTAGACTATAGACTAGACTATAGACTAGACTATAGACTAGACTATAGACTAGACTATAGACTAGACTATAGACTAGACTATAGACTAGACTATAGACTAGACTATAGACTAGACTATAGACTAGACTATAGACTAGACTATAGACTAGACTATAGACTAGACTATAGACTAGACTATAGACTAGACTATAGACTAGACTATAGACTAGACTTAGACTAGACTATAGACTAGACTATAGACTAGACTATAGACTAGACTATAGACTAGACTATAGACTAGACTATAGACTAGACTATAGACTAGACTATAGACTAGACTATAGACTAGACTATAGACTAGACTATAGACTAGACTATAGACTAGACTATAGACTAGACTATAGACTAGACTATAGACTAGACTATAGACTAGACTATAGACTAGACTATAGACTAGACTTTAGACTAGACTATAGACTAGACTATAGACTAGACTATAGACTAGACTTTAGACTAGACTATAGACTAGACTATAGACTAGACTATGGACTAGACTATAGACTAGACTTTAGACTAGACTATAGACTAGACTATAGACTAGACTATAGACTAGACTATAGACTAGACTATAGACTAGACTATAGACTAGACTATAGACTAGACTATAGACTAGACTATAGACTAGACTATAGACTAGACTATAGACTAGACTATAGACTAGACTATAGACTAGACTATAGACTAGACTATAGACTAGACTATAGACTAGACTATAGACTAGACTATAGACTAGACTATAGACTAGACTATAGACTAGACTATAGACTAGACTATAGACTAGACTATAGACTAGACTATAGACTAGACATAGACTAGACTATAGACTAGACTATAGACTAGACTATAGACTAGACTTAGACTAGACTATAGACTAGACTATAGACTAGACTATGACTAGACTATAGACTAGACTTAGACTAGACTATAGACTAGACTATAGACTAGACTATAGACTAGACTATAGACTAGACTATAGACTAGACTATAGACTAGACTATAGACTAGACTATAGACTAGACTATAGACTAGACTATAGACTAGACTATAGACTAGACTATAGACTAGACTATAGACTAGACTATAGACTAGACTATAGACTAGACTATAGACTAGACTATAGACTAGACTATAGACTAGACTATAGACTAGACTATAGACTAGACTATAGACTAGACTATAGACTAGACTATAGACTAGACTATAGACTAGACTATAGACTAGACTATAGACTAGACTATAGACTAGACTTTAGACTAGACTATAGACTAGACTATAGACTAGACTATAGACTAGACTTTAGACTAGACTATAGACTAGACTATAGACTAGACCATGGACTAGACTATAGACTAGACTTTAGACTAGACTATAGACTAGACTATAGACTAGACTATAGACTAGACTATAGACTAGACTATAGACTAGACTATAGACTAGACTATAGACTAGACTATAGACTAGACTATAGACTAGACTATAGACTAGACTATAGACTAGACTATAGACTAGACTATAGACTAGACTATAGACTAGACTATAGACTAGACTATAGACTAGACTATAGACTAGACTATAGACTAGACTATAGACTAGACTATAGACTAGACTATAGACTAGACTATAGACTAGACTATAGACTAGACTATAGACTAGACTATAGACTAGACTATAGACTAGACTATAGACTAGACTATAGACTAGACTATAGACTAGATATAGACTAGACTATAGACTAGACTATAGACTAGACTATAGACTAGACTATAGACTAGACTATAGACTAGACTATAGACTAGACTATAGACTAGACTATAGACTAGACTTTAGACTAGACTATAGACTAGACTATAGACTAGACTATGGACTAGACTATAGACTAGACTTTAGACTAGACTATAGACTAGACTATAGACTAGACTATAGACTAGACTATAGACTAGACTATAGACTAGACTATAGACTAGACTATAGACTAGACTATAGACTAGACTATAGACTAGACTATAGACTAGACTATAGACTAGACTATAGACTAGACTATAGACTAGACTATAGACTAGACTATAGACTAGACTATAGACTAGACTATAGACTAGACTATAGACTAGACTATAGACTAGACTATAGACTAGACTATAGACTAGACTATAGACTAGACTATAGACTAGACTATAGACTAGACTATAGACTAGACTATAGACTAGACTATAGACTAGACTATAGACTAGACTATAGACTAGACTATAGACTAGACTATAGACTAGACTATAGACTAGACTATAGACTAGACTATAGACTAGACTATAGACTAGACTATAGACTAGACTATAGACTAGACTATAGACTAGACTATAGACTAGACTATAGACTAGACTATAGACTAGACTATAGACTAGACTATAGACTAGACTATAGACTAGACTATAGACTAGACTATAGACTAGACTATAGACTAGACTATAGACTAGACTATAGACTAGACTATAGACTAGACTATAGACTAGACTATAGACTAGACTATAGACTAGACTATAGACTAGACTATAGACTAGACTATAGACTAGACTATAGACTAGACTATAGACTAGACTATAGACTAGACTATAGACTAGACTATAGACTAGACTATAGACTAGACTATAGACTAGACTATAGACTAGATAGAAGATATAGACTAGACTATAGACTAGACTATAGACTAGACTATAGACTAGACTATAGACTAGACTATAGACTAGACTATAGACTAGACTATAGACTAGACTATAGACTAGACTATAGACTAGACTATAGACTAGACTATAGAGAGACTATAGACTAGACTATAGACTAGACTATAGACTAGACTATAGATAGACTATAGACTGAATATAGACTGACTAGAGAAGCTAGACTATAGACTAGACTATAGACTAGACTATAGGACTAAGACTATAGACTAGGACTAGTAGACTAGACTATAGACTAGACTAGCATAGACTAGACTATAGACTAGACTATAGACTAGACTATAGACTAGACTATAGACTAGACTAGACTATAGACTAGACTATAGACTAGACTATAGACTAGACTTTAGACTAGACTATACACTAGACTTTAGACTAGACTATAGACTAGATAAAAAACTTATTTTTATTTAAATATATATTTGTATATATTTTTGAGAAAAAACACTTGTTGTCTTTTGATCAAAAAACCAATAATAATCAGCATGCCAGCTAAAATAAGCATAATTTGTTCTTAAGAAAAAATACATTCCAGCCAAATTTAAAATAAACAACAAATCCCCCAATTTTACACAAAGATTGTGTGAGTTTTTGCCCCTCTATAAACATAAAAACAGAACCAACAAAATAAAATCTTTAAATCTGTCAAAGTTTTACATGGATATTAAATAAATGTAACAGGCAACACACATCAAAGTAAAATGTTGCAACATAAATTAAAAATTTTATGACACACATTTATATATCGAAAATATTCCCTTTTATTTGAAACATTTGGTGGCTTTTAGCACGAGTCAATCGTATTTCATTTTAGATCAAGCAAATAAAGAAAGAAAACATTCCTCTAATAATAAATATTTAGAAGTTTCTTTTCATTTTGGTTTTGAATTGATATTTATTTTGAAATTTCCCCCTTCACTTTTCCAGCAAACATATGAGATTAAGTGGGCGCCACCGAGTTGTTTATATACGATAAAAGTGTGAAGTGCGAAGTGATCGAGTAGAAACTATTGTGAGTGAATGTGAAGTGAGTGCATGATCATAAGCCCCCGTTGAAACTATAGATGCAGTTGTTTTTGTTGACTGGACAGGAAAAGAATGCTAAAGTGTTAATTTGAGCAGGAAATAAATAAACAATAATTTTGAAAATTCTTTTTCTATATGGGAGTTTCTTTGTAAACAACTATCGTGTTTCGTAATTATTTAATTTGTTTTCGAAATACTTTAAAATTTGAAAATTGTTGTTTGAAAAGTAGACAAAGTGTTGAGTTTGTTTTTAAAAAGGGTTTTCATGTTGTCGTGATTGTTTGTCTGTTTGTTTTAATGTTGTCTACAGAAGAAGTCATTATGATTAATTATAATTTTAAATCTATGTTTTGTTAAGATTATTTTTATTCCTTGAGTGTTTTAAAATTTTAATTGATAGATGGCGTGTAATTTACTTTTTTCGAGTTAGACACATGTTGATGTAGCGTGTGTGTGGAAATAGAAATGCTAATAAGATATTGGATATATAATCGATGTAATCATCGGGCACTTAGTATGTCTTGATTTTTATTAAGATAAATGATAATTGTGTTCCACAAACTACAGACTAGACCAAAGACTAGACAATGAACTAGATTATAGACTAAACTATAGACTAGACTATAGACTAGACTATAGACTAGATTATAGACTAGACTATAGACTGAACTATAGACTAGACTATAGACTAGGTTATAGACAAGACTATAGACTAAACTATAGACTTGATTATAGACTAGACTATAGACTAGACTATAGACTAGACTATAGACTAGACTATAGACTAGACTATAGACTAGACTATAGACTACACTATAGACTAGACTATAGACTAGACTATAGACTAGACTATAGACTAGACTATAGACTAGACTATAGACTAGACTATAGACTAGACTATAGACTAGACTATAGACTAGACTATAGACTAGACTATAGACTAGACTATAGACTAGACTATAGACTAGACTATTGACTAGACTATTGACTAGACTATTGACTAGACTATAGACTAGACTATTGACTAGACTATTGACTAGACTATAGACTAGACTATAGAAAGTTCAGAAATGTGTTACCTCTTGATCCGCTTTTCAGTTCTTTATAAAGTAATTGAAAACCTATTTTAAATTCTCTGGTTTTTAATTATCCCATTGCATTTCTAAAAAACGCTCTACATTTTCCAAAACCATATTCCCCATTATTAAAAACAATTATAAACTAAGAAAAATATTACAAAATATTTTCTTTTTTTACACTTGACTGATTTCTTTAGGCCCGGAAAAACTATGTTTTTATTTAGTTAGTGACTGAAACAGATGACTACCACAAAAAACAGCAAAATGTGGTCTATAATTTCCTTAGCAATGTTTTTGTTTTTTTAGACATGTCAGTTTAGACAAACGTAAATCACTCATCAAGAGTTTGCATATGGACAAAGAAAAAGATTTAGAGAAATCTTTTAAACTAAAAACTAAAAGAAATTGGAACATCTATTAAGAGCTAAGGCCTGTTTTTTTTCAACAACAGCAAAAGGGAAGGTATGCCAGTTCCCTGTTTGTTTTCATTTTCCCAATCATGTGTAACCAATTGCTGTGCTTTAGTTCCTTTATGCTTCTTATTAATTTATCTTTTCCCAGTTGTGCTATTGTGAAGTCATAAATTATGTTTCGTCTATAACCATTGCAGTACCATGTCATTTATTATGTTTTTATTTTGTGAAATAAATTTGGATAAAATCGTTTGTATTTCATATTTCTGTACTTATGTGGTGAATGATAAATGTTATGTTTTTGAGATTTTGCCATTAAACCATGAAAAATTATAGTCAGCATTTGTATTCAAGCAAATAAAGAAAAAGGCAAGAAAAAAAATGCCACCAACGAGAACGGACTGACAATTTTTTTCGTGTTAATTAATATGTAATGAAGATTTTATTTAAGAATCTTCTTTGACTTCAGTAAAATCTAGAGCATAGTCTGGATTAATGACTTGATTTTAGTACAGACTAGAGACTGGACTATAGATAAGACTGTAGAAAAGACTAAAGACTATACTATAGGTAAGGCTATAGACTAGACTATAGAATAGGCTATAGACTAGTCTATAGATTAGACTTTAGACTATAGACTAAACATTAGACTAGACTATACACTATATAAAGTCATAGACTGGACTATACATTAGACTAGACTATACACCAGATTATAGACTTGATTATATTCTAGATTATAGATCCAACTACTGTTCAGACTATATTTTAGATCAGTGGCGAGACTATAGTCGACTATATTCCAAACCATATATTAAACTATTCACTAGACTGTAGTCCGTACAATTGATCGGACTATAGTATAGGCCATAGACTGGACTATATTTCAGACTACAGACTGGAAAATCATGTAGACTATATACTATATAACAGCCCAAACATTATAGTAGGCTATAGTCCAGACTATAAAATAGAATATAATCCAGACTATAGAATAGACCATAGTCCAGACTATAGAATAGACCATAGTCCAGACTATAGAATAGACTATAGTCCAGACTATAGAATGGAATATAATCCAGACTATAGAATAGATTATAGTCCAGACTACTGATTTTACTATAGACCAGGTTATAGAATAGACTATAGTCCAGACTATAGAATAGATTATAGTCCAGACTTTAGAATAAACTATAGTCCAGACTATAGAATAGACTATAGGCCAGACTATAGAATAGACGATAGTCCAGACTATAGAATAGACTATAGTCCAGACTGTAGTCCAGACTATAGAATAGACTATAGTCCAGACTATAGTACAGACTATAGGATAGACTATAGTCCAGACTATATAATAGACTATAGTCCAGACTATATAATGGACTATAGTGCAGATTATATAAAATACTATAGTCCAGAATATAGAATAGACTATAGTCCAGACTATACAATAGAGTATAGTCCAGACTATACAATAGACTATATCATGGACTATAGAATAGACTATATTGTGGCCTATAGAATAGACTATAGTCTGGACTATAGAATAGACTATAGTCTGGACTATAGAATATACTATAGTCTGGACTATAGAATAGACCATAGTCTGGACTGTAAAATAGACTATAGTCTGGACTATAGAATAGACTATAGTCTGGACTATAGAATAGATTATAGTCTGGACTATAGAATAGACTATAGTCTGGACTATAGAATAGATTATAGTCTGGACTATAGAATAGACTATAGTCTGGACTGTAGAATAGACTATACTCTGGACTGTAGAATAGACTATACTCTGGACTATAGAATAGACTATATTCTGGACTATAGAATAGACTATAGTCTGGACTATAAAAGATTCTATAGTCTAGACTACAAACTATAGATAGGGCTATAGTCAAGACTATTGACTAGGCTATAGTCCCTACAATTGATCAGATTATAGTGCAAGCCATAGTCAAGACTAGACTGTAGTTCAGATATTGACTAACCTATATTATTTATTTTCTTACTTGTTATGTCCCGTTCAAAAGATTAGATCTTATTTACTGTAATTTTTATCTATAACACCTAAATGTATGTTACAAAACCTAATACATACGTGATGTTTAAAGTATGCAATATCAATTGCAATTGCAAATATCAGTTGTATTTTGAAGATTTAAGTAGCTAGTTGTATAAATTTGAAGCTGGTGGACTTTTCCTTTAAATTATTTTAAATTATAACTTCTGGATTGAATACTTTATTAACCTTTTTCCATCTCTTTCTTTTCAGGTCTTTAGTATTACGCTCACAAAGAGCCTTTTCGGAAAGCAATGGTAAGTTATTTAGCCCCCACAATGACTTATATTTTGTACATTTAAATGACCACATTTTTCTTACTGTCCCTCATTAAGCATTTAAAACATTTGTTTATTTTTATTGTAATATTTATAATAAATTAAATAAATAATTAACCATATCGTTTGGTAATCTTCCTAATAATAAGTGTGTTAAGTGGGTAGTTGTTTCTTTAAAATGACCCTGGCCCTGAGATTTTATTATTAAAGTTTTTTTTTTTTGAAATTCATTCATTTAAAAGTTAATAAATCATAATAAATTCAATAAAAAATATAATTAATTTAAACTGTATTTTTATAGTTATAATTTAAATTCCAATACAAGTTATTTAAACTAAAAGAAAACAGTGGCACGTTTGAAATGAAATACACGTATGAACATGGTACAAACATTTACAGCCATGGGCGTTTTTCAACAAATATGTAAACAATAGGTTAACTAAACTACTTCGTTTGTAGAAGAAAAGTTAGTTGGTGTTCAAATGAAATACATGACTTGCTGCCTCACACCCATTCATCATATGAAAACAGCCCATCACTGTTATAAGTTTGATGTTAATGTTATTTGTAATTATGTGGGTGTTCATTAAAAAATGTAGTTGTAGTCTCTTTTCTTTACGTTACGTTTCTTTCAGCTTAGTTTGGTTTTTGTCTATTTGGACAGGTTTATTGCTTGAGCTCAGTCAGGTCGACATTCATTCATCGATTTTACTGGACACCAAACAAACAGTCATCAGTTGGCCAACAACTTTTTCTTGGACTTATATGTTTTTTGTTGTTGTTTTTAAACAAGAAAATATACAACTTGTAGTAGTTGTAATTTTTTTTTAAACATTTTTAGTTGATTTTATTTATATGGTCTACAAGTATTTAAAACAAGAGAAATTCGTAATAGTTTGTTTTTATGGTAAAATTCATTAATGAAATGAAAAGTGAAAGAAAAATATTTATTATTATTATTAAATGAATGAATAAGAAAATGAAACTTTAATTGGAAAATTATGATATCAAGGTTGCATTCCAGTGTAAAACATGTAACTATAGTCCAGACCGTAGTCCTTACTATTGCTCAGTCTACAGATTATACTATGCGCCAGCCTATAGAGTGTTATATAATCCAGAGTTTAAACTAGGTTATAGTTCAACCTATAGATCAAATTATTGTCGAGACTGTAGACTAGACTGCAGTCCAGACTATAGACTAAACTCCAGACTATAGACAGGACTATAGAATAGACTACAGTCCAGACTGTAGACTAGACTGCAGTCCAGACTATGGACTAGACTATAGACCAGACTATAGACTAGACTATAGTCCATACTATAGACTAGACTGTAGACTGTACTACAGTCCAGACTATGGACTAGACTATAGACCAGACTATAGAATAGATTATATTCCAGACTATAGACTATGCTATAGATAAGACTGTAGATTATACTACAGTCCAGACTAGAGACTACATTGTAGACTTGACTATAATCTAGATTATAGTCCAGACTATAGACAAGATTATAGTAGAGACTATAGACTAGGCTATAGTAGAGAATATAGACTAGACTAGACTATAGTATAGACTATATACTAGACTATAGTATAGACTATAGACTAGACTATGGACTAGCCTATAGACTATACTACAGTCCAAACTATGGACTAGACTGTAGCCCAGACTATGGACTAGACTATAATCTAGACTATATACTAAACTATAGTTCAGACTATAGACCTTACTATAGTCCAGACTTTAGACTAGACTATAGTCCAGACTATAAACTAGATTATAGTAAATACTACTGTCCAGACTATAGACTAGACCATAGTCCAAACTATAGACTATTCTATATTCCACACTGTAGACTAGACTATAGTTTGGACTAAAGTCCAGACTATAGACTAGACTATTGTCCAGACTATAGTCCAGACTATAGTCCAGACTATAGACTAGACTATACTCCAAACTTTAGACTAGTCTATAGTCCAGACTATACACTAGACTATAGTCCAAACCCTAGACTAGACTATAGTCCAAGCTATAGACTAAACTATAGGCTAGCCTATAGGCCAGACTATAGACTAGATTATAGTCCAAACTATAGACTAGATTATAGTCCAAACTGTAGACTAGACTACAGTCCAAACTATAGACTAGACTATAGACTATCTATAGTCTAGTCTATAGTCCAGACTATAAACTAGACTATAGTCCAGACTATAGACTATACTATAACCCAGACTACAGAATTGGCTATAGTCCAGACTACAGACTTGACTATAGTCGAGACTACAGACTTGACTTTAGTCCAGACTGTAGACTAGACTATAGTCTAGACTGTAGACTAGACTATAGTCCAAAATATAGACTAGAGTCCAGACTGTGAACTAGACTATAGTTCATACTATAGACTAGACTATAGTCCAGACTAGAATTTAGTCTAGATTATTGTCCGTAGACTAGACTATAGATCACACTGTAAACTATATTCCTAGACTGTAGAATGGTCCAGATTATACACTTGTTCAAACTAAAGATTAGACAACAGGCGAGACTAAAGATAGTCTAGACTACAGACTATGATCCAGACTAACCACTAAACGGTTGGGAACGTAAAAGAAATGTCTTTTACATCTTTACCTTAATTCACTTGACATTTAAGTGTTGGCAAATAAATCAATTCCCTCAAAAACGCAAATCTTCAAACAAGCAATAAATCATGTTCGAAAAACTAAACCGATAATATCTGCCAAAAATCAAGTGTTGTTAATCAGCTATAAGTCGTTAAAGACAACGAACAGCAAAAAACTGAAATGATCCGGTATTTTAACATATAAATTCAAACACAAAACTGTCTACTTGAGAGATTAAAGCGAAAATTAGAAATGTTTTTTAAAAAAAAGTACAAAAAACTTGTGAACAAATAATATAAATCAATATTAAATAACAGATTTAAGCGTTTTTAATAAAACCGCCCACTCGACAACACCCATATCCGTTCAATTATCTATAAAAATAATCATTAAATTTGTTGTCGCTTCAAATTGACTTGTTTTTGTCTTTCTTGCTCTAAGACTACAAGTTGTGTTTTTTATCGAAGTAAAATTACGGTTAATTAAAAAAGTTTAAAAAAGCTGAATTACTTATTTAAAGTTGTTTTAAACGCCCAAAAATTATAAAATTTACCACAAAGTTGTAAAACTCAATGAAAAGTCTTGTTGAAATTGTCAAAAAAAGCTGAACTTGAGTGGGCTGGGGTTTTAATACAAATTGCTGCTGGCAAAATTACAATAAAAATTGTCCGTTAGAAAATGAAGCAACCAATGGAATTTTTAAAATTGAAATAGAGGAAAAACTGAGTACATTAGGGGTATTCATAGTATGGGGAAAAATTCAATTTTAAAATCAAGTTTTCGAAGGAAAAGTGAGACGTTCAGTAACCAAGATTACAGTTTACCCCCACAACATAAATATGACTTTTTTGTGGAAATCTGTGAACATCCCTAATGTTGCTTAACTAGACGTTTTGTCTTTTTCATCAGTTTATACTCAAATTTCTTTATAATTTCTTCATAAAGTACGTTTAATTGAATTAATTTCTAAAACTATTAAGCAATTCCTCTTGTTCAAATTGTTAATTGTGACAATTGAGTTTTATTTTTTCGATTTTTTTCCAAATAATTTTTGCAATTTATAGAAAAAAAGTCATAAATAAAATCTATACTGACAATGTGGGTGTCAACTAAACTCGTTTCATATAAAAAATAGAACTCTGGTTATTCTTAGACTTCAAAAACCAAACTAAACTAACTGTCAGTAGCTGTCTAACTGACTGTCGCTGACTGTCTGTCTGTCCGTCTGTCTGCTTATCTTGGCAATAATGTGGGAGTGTTGCAAATAACAACGTGTTACATTTGACCTACTTTTTGCAAAGTTAAAAGCAATATCATTTACTTTTTCATTTTAACAGAAATCATAAATTACAAAAAAAAAGGAGAAAAAAATTGTAGGATTTTTTTCTTTTGCCAGAATTTAAAATTTGACAAACATTTAATATAAAATATATTATATCTGTACTTGTTAGTAATTTAGTAGTATAGAGAAAAAAACTGAAATTTCCTCTTTTGTCTGTGTTTAAACAAATTTGTAATTATTAATTCATTTATGTCCATCATAATTTAATCACTTTTTTTTTTTGGGTTCGTAATATAAAACATGTACCAAATTAAGCCAACAACTTATTACTAAATTATATACATATTTTAAATGAAAACGGTAGTTGTGGAGAATATCATTTATGTTGGATAACAACGGACTGTGAGTAGCCCTACTATGGGAAGAGAGTAAACTAGACTATATTTCTATAGTTCAGACCATAGTCCAGACTATAGTTCAGACTATAGTCCAGATTATAGTTCAGACTATAGTCCAGACTATAGTGAAGACCATAGTTCAGACTATAGTCCAGACTATCGTTGAGACTATAGTCCAGACTATAGTTCAGACTATAGTCCAGACTATAGTTCAGACTATAGTCCAGACTATAGTTCAGACTATAGTCCAGACTATAGTTCAGACTATAATCCAGACTATAGTTCAGACTATAGTCCAGACTATAGTTCAGACTATAGTCCAGACTATAGTTCAGACTATAGTCCAGACTATAGTTCAGACTATAGTCCAGACTATAGTTCAGACTACAATCCAGACTATAGTTCAGACAATAGTTCAGACTATATAGACATATAGTTCAGACTATAGTCTAGACTATAGTTCAGACTATAGTCCAGACTATAGTTCAGACTATAGTCCAGACTTTAGTTCAGACTATAGTCCAGACTATAGTTCAGATTATAGTCCAGACTATAGTTCAGACTATAGTTCAGACTATAGTTCAGTCTCTAGTACAGACTATAGTTCTGACATAGTCCAGATTATAGTTCAGACTATACTCCAGACTATAGTTCAGTCTATAGTCCAGAC